ACAACGGGGAAGAAGGAGGCCGAAGGGCGGGGGTGCGCGTGACGTGACTGCAATTAGCGGCTGATTACGCTTCCACCAACACCAGGAATTGGCTCCGAATTAATCAGGCGGCTGCGCTGTGACACGTCACACCGCGTCACGCGGCGTCACACCACGTGCCACCGTGGAGCACGCACCTACAGGGCAGGGGCGTGATTGGATGGGGTGGACCATTGTTTTTTGGTCGGTCAAGGCGGCTCGGTAAGCGGTAGGAAACGACCAAACGCAGCGCCCAAGCTGATCCGGAGAAGGCTTTCGTTTCGGGAAGCACCTTCAGCAGGATGACAGAAGCATCGATTTTCTGAGTGAGGATATATGGCGGCGGACGGGGTCAAAGGGTTCACATTGGTCGCTTGAATTGCAAGATTCCTGACAGGGAATATTCAGATATCAAAAGATTACGTACTGGCTGGCTCTATCTTTGATGACGACAACGTCAGAGCCGTTGGTCCGATTCTCCACATGCTCGCGGTTTTCATATGACCCATGAGAGCTTCTGCCATCCGTCACAATTCTCTAAAAACTCGATTTTTCGCGCGGAAAGACTAGCCGAAGACGTGTCAGTCTCAAAAGACAGTTGTCTTCAAGCGTGATAGGTACCACAATACCAATATATAATGTAAAAAATGATACAATAAAATAAAGATAATGATAAGATGATGAGCATAAAATATATAATATGATAAAGAATGATAAAAAACAAGCACATTAAAAATAATGATAGGTACCACCTCATGCCTCAATTGGATAATGTCCTGCCCGCTGCAAACAGAAATCGTTGAAAGCAAAAATAAAATCATTTTAAGTTTACTTCCCCTTGAAATGTTCTCAGCTCACTTGGATGGCATAAAGCCAGGCAGAGGTTACTATTATTACCACCGTCATAAGACCTCATACCGGAGATGCTCGTCATAATACGGACGTTCATACCGGAGATGCTCGAAACAAACATCCGTTCGCAAATGCTCATAACAATGTTCATAAACGCGTGTGTGCGTATCGCGAATGGTAATTTATGAAAGACGCTCGTAACTGAAGATATCTGTTAATGCAAGTACTCAGACCATTATTGCTTGTAAACGCTCATGCACATATCAAAATCGGTTGTCACACTACTAAGCTTCATTGCATCGCAGCTACCGCTCAACGCTAATAACCACATCTATTATTAATATATCATATGACCTTGTACGTAGATCTACATGTCGCAAATGCTCGTAAACCCAAAAACGTAAATCGACGGTAAGTTTAGAAAAGTGAATGCAGTGAGTCTAGAACACGCGACGCGAAGGAAAGCAACGGTGAGGCCAGACTCACCCGCATGACACACTACGGGATGACTCATCGTCCTTGCGTTGTTTGCAGCCGTGCGTATCCAGAACGCCGGATTTTTCCTGTTACAAACCTCATATAGAGAAATATATGGGAATATGCCCTGCCGTGTTTTAGGTTTCCAACAATCTTCGCCCTCCCCTCCCCTCCTCACTTTCCTCGTGATCATCGACATAACTCTATTAGGGAGCGATAATGAGCACGACCAAATCCACATATGCCACGATATTAATTTCACCCCACTGCACGCATTTTGAAAGGCATTGAGATTGCCAATTTTTAGATAACTTCGGTATACTGTGATAATGAATGACTCATGATTCCACTCAAAGTTCAGAAAGTTAAACTAAGGTTCAGTATCTAAAGATCAGGTATCAGAACAGAGCTCAAAACATATTTGAAGCCACGCGGCTCGCGTGTCTCATGCCACCCTGGAGTGGATTCTTGACTCAAGTAGAGTCTAGCTCGAGTCTGCAATCCATAAGTCTAAGTGAGCCGGCTTGTACCAATATATCGACTGGATAACATCGAGCATCGTACGCGATGCAAATCAAATCATTTACTGCACCGGGAACGGCAAAAGTCATTAGTCACTTGTTCTCGGATCCGAACAAGATACATCTCCCAATAAACTAGGTCGAACAAGCCGCTTGGCCACTTGCCCATGATCTACGCTGCCTATCTTCGACAGCGGACATTCCCGATTCTGATTGGTGGGTTGCGCGGATGACGCGGCCGTTGTTCTACGAGCGAACACGCAACACGGCCAGACAGACGCCCATCACTCGTGCTGCGATAAGCATCCGAACAGCAAGCCCAGAGCTGTGCTACAAACGAATAGCCAGCTGATCATCAGATGACCCACCGACTCCATAACTCATAAAGCCGAAAATGTATGTTCGAAGTTGCATGCACCCATACCATGTGATGTCAAAATGACGGGTTGCGTTTTGATTTGTGACGGAGGTCGCTCGCTGTGTAAGACAAGCGACTGTGCAATTCAGTTTCACGTGCTGACACTTTCACCGAAGCGGCCCCGCGCTAGCTAAGAACTGACGGACGGATTAGAATGGATTAGGGATTAGGAGGGAGGGATTGGATTCTGTCCAGCCTCCGAGGAAGAGAGAAAAAGAGAGAGAGAAAGAGAGAGAGAAGAGAGAGAGAAAAAGAGAAGGAGAAGAGAGAGAGAGAGAGAGAGAGAGAGAGAGAGAGAGAGAGAGAGAGAGAGAGAGAGAGAGAGAGAGAGAGAGAGAGAGAGAGAGAGAGAGGAGAGAGAGAGAGCGAGAGAGAGAGAGAGAGAGAGAGAGAGAGAGAGAGAGAGAGAAGATGAAGTTCCTTTAGACAACCGTCTCACTTCGTAAGTTTTGCACATAGAAGGTGAAATTGAGATACAAGTTCATGAACAATAGAGAGACGATATCCAGAAGCGTCATAATAGTTAAGCTAGAAACCGATATCGAAAAAAGCGAGACACACCTACCGCGTCTCCCGCTTTACAGTGTCTTCACGCACCGTCTAGTTTTGTTCCTAGCGGACTGCTTTATTCTCAGTCTACCCATCAAATTTTACTGAGCTCGGCGTCTAAAGCTGAGAGGATTGCCGCGTTCTAGTTATACTACTGCAAGGTTCTCCCGATCTGATGATAGTCCGGGATTTTCGAAAATATGAGGTGAAAACTAGATACAGCATGGTTCCGTTCCGCCTTCATTGGCACCCTCAGATTAATGAATTAGTTTTCCTTGACAAACCTAAAGTCACATCGGGGGTGATGAGGGGAATTTTCTTCTGGCTGGATCAGGAAAAAGCTACGAGTACATTAAGCCAGCCTTTGCTAACGGGCATACAGAAAAGGAAAGAGACAGGTTACGCCAACCCGAGTAATGTCGTTCTGTAGCAGAACAAGAACCGCGTTCGAGGCCACGTCGTTCCGTAAGACATTCGTTATTTCATTAAGCATTGACTCTGAGCAACACTTTGAGGTGCAGAACTGCAGACTATGAAGAATCATGAAGCTACGTCATTCCGTGAGACATTCGTTATTTCATTAAGCATTGACTGAGCAGCACTTTGAGGTGCAGAGCTGCAGACTATGAAGAATCATGGAACTACGCTATTCCGTGAGACATCCATTATTTCACTAAGCATTGACTCTGAGCAACACTTTGAGGTGCAGAGCTGCAGGACTATGAAGAATCATGAAACAACAACCCGGTGAGCTACCTGCCCAGTCAAAAACGCAATCGTACTCCTGGGGAGATCCCGTTATCACAGGACTCATAGCATCGCCCGGCCTTATCCAAGCCCTGGTGGGCTAAGCACCCATAAGTACCGGGGATGTAGCTTTAAATACTTGTGTGCTTCCCCCCCCCCCCATGCTGACATGAGCCCCTTCAGTGCTCTTATGAGCCGTCTGCCCCTCACTCCTATGTATATGAGCAAAAAAACGAACATTGGAATAAAATGCAGCAAGTGTCTCTCAGCTGCTGACACACTACGTACCTAAACGCATAGCTGGCACTATCATCACGATATTTTCATATTATATCATCATTATTATGGCACCAGCTTCAAATGAAGTCATTCTGCAGCATAAAGCTCCAGAACTGACCAAATACCTGTCATTTTGCTTTCAATTTTGGCATTAGGGACACAAATCAAGGTGGACGAAGTACACAGAGCAAATCATGCTTTGGGGAGAAAATGAGGTCAACTTGATTGCCTCAAACCCCTACCGACTTTAAAAAGTGAAAACTCTGCTGAGTGCCCGCTGTGCAGCGTCAGGAACTTGCGGAGATACAGCAATTCCGCCACTTGAAACGTGGACCCGGCGGGTTTTGTATGGTTGTAATAACTGCAGCTCTGAACCTGAAGCGGATCAGACACCACGCCCATTGTATGTTCAGCTCAGCAGGACGAGGGGGGGGGGGGAGAGAGGCTGATGGACACCTGTTCATTGCAATGCCTCGTTGGCTCTTGCACTGTTTAAAGCTCTACAAGAAGTACTTACAGATAACAGGGTCATTACATCGCTGGTTCCTCTTCGGACTTCGACGTGGTGATCTTGCAAGAGTTCGCGTAGGTATGACGAATTTAATGTGGATTTTGTCACTCAAGACATCATGTTACATTTGTTTAGTGTCCCAAGAAATCTACCGTGGAATTTCATTTTGTGGTCACCGAAGAAAAATTTCCATGCGGTTTTCAACACAGGGTGTGTTTTTTTACACTTTTGTATCGGTACAATCTGTCGACTTTGCCAAAACCTGCCAGAAGTGTCATCAGGTGGACCTGCCCGTGGCCCAATGGTTTATTAGCGCCTTAGTTACTAGTACTAACATGCTTTTGTTTCCACCAAATGACGTCACCACCTCTCACATTGTTCGGTGAGCGGCGCTGATGCTATCGAAATAGGTCAAGCTTGTCACATGATTGATGTTCGCTTGAGCAGAGCAAAGCGTGCAGTAATGATTAGCTGAAATGGACAGCAAGCAGTGCAAAAAATGTGTTCCGAAACCGTCCAGAACCTTATCTCACGGATTCTTTAGTGCATCTATCCTTCGTGTATCACGTATTGATGTCGTGTAATTCAACAAAACCGCCACCGCACGATTAAAATAATCAAAGTGACGTCACTGCGTTTAAAATATATTCAGCTACAGAAATCAAATGACTAGTTCACTTGGGCATAGGCACTACCGGAGGTCGCTCACGCACTGCGACCACCCACTTGCTCAAGCGACACTAACGTGAACATGAAACACGGCTGTCGGTCCAACAACGCAAGACCGCCCCCGTCGGCACTCCACCTAAAAACATTGCACGTCTCTTCTTCGGTGGACCTCGCGGCCAATCTCACATCCACCCACACATCCGCGCACACACACATACACACACACTGCTCTCAAGCCCAGAATTCGAGCTTCCCTGTGGCAGGAGATAGGCCATCATCCTAATGGAAGGAAAACAGCTCCGGAACGGTTACCATGGAGACCGCGTTGACGTAGGCGTTCTTGGCGCGCCGTTTCAGTCGCGTTTATGGATTCATTTTAGTCACGACGGGCGGGCGTGCGTCGATATTTGGCAACTGATTTGGAAGACGCAAGTTCGGCGGTAGATGCTCTCAACTGCCCGGCATGTGGTGTCGCTCTCGGAAAGCGTTATGCCTGTGGAAACACGGTCCGCGGAAGAGGGACACCGTTTTCTCGGCACTCGTTCAACTGTACAGCTTAACAATCTATAAATACGCAGAAATAGCCTACTGTTAACGGCGCTCGAAAACCCAGCGGCCCAACACAGGCAGCGGCTCACTTACAAATGTACAAATATAAAAATATCACATCGGCCATACGCGCCCGCGTGAGTCGTTTTGATTTGGCGGACACGGACGACACTCGCACCGTTCGCGTGGCACGAACACATACCGAGCGGATAGCCAAGCTCCGCCAGCAACGCTGGTGGATTCGCCAAGCTGGAGGAATTCGCGCGCGGCGTCTGCGGGTTGCGCGAGCATTAATATCGACTGGTAATTGGCAGGCGCATGCTTACATTGGCAGGGTTGACCGATGGTAGATTCCAGGTGAGATATCTTTCGGGGTCTTCGCACCTCTGGCTTGACGAGTTTCAAGGACACCACCACGTTCGACCAATCACGCGGGACCGCGCCACCACGCGACAGCATTTCCACCAATCACAGTTCGCTCGCCGTCTGTCCGACCAGTCGCGGCGTCACGCGACCGGCGGACCGACCAATCAGATCACTGCACGTCAGGTTCAGCCAATCGGCGCGCATCGTTCAAGGTTACACCCGCGGCCCGACCTGAGCCTCGACGATTTGCGCCGCGTCCTCGCGTCCCATGATCCTCAGGATGTTGAGAAGCTCAGTGCTGGCCGACTGCTCGGGGTGCCGGGCCTCCCAAAGATCCAGGATAGCATCCGTCGGCGACTTCTTTGTGGCGAAGTAGTTGATGTACCTATAAATGCAATGGGCACCCTCATTACCCGACTGGTTTCTGCACCTGTAAATAAGATGGGCTTTGAGCACACAGCTCAGAAAACGAATGGCCAATATTTTATTGCAGATTCTCTATATCTATACCAAACCGGTCTTGCAAATATCGTAAGTGCAGCTATCTGAATGGCTGTACATATATGGTTCACACACATCTCCTAATTCATATATGACAAGCCTAACGCTATCCACCAACTTTAAAGACACAGCTCTCAATCCTCATCTATCGCATTCGTTGTGTTCGTCCTACACATCGACCACTTTGTCTTTTCCCACGTGAATCACTTCACAATTGTTAAAAGCCTCAATAGATAAGCCAGTTGACAGCGCCGACCCACCTGTTGACCTGCATCATCTGCGCCAGCATGCGCCAGTCATTTCCCCGCGAGTTGGGCGGGTTCAGGCACTGGCACAGCTTGTGTCGGGTGTCGGCAGACAACCTGGCAGCGCGGGCACACTGTCAGTGTGACGTCACATGTATCGTCACACTTCCACTTCGCTTCGCCACGCCTGAACATCACTTGACACTTCATGGGACACTTTGTGGGCACTACGCTCGTTGTCGGGTGCATCAAAGTCACATCATACCCACAAGTGATGCCATACGCCTCCGCAGTGCTCTGGAGAGAACCCAAGTACCGTACATATGAATTAAGACACCGCATCTCATCAACAGAAAATGGGGAGACACTTTGCGTCCACTGCCAGGCTAAGGGGTTATTATCTCGCAATTTGCCATGCATTCATAACCAGGGGTTTACGGCTATTTCGCAGATAACATTGTTACGCCGCACGGTACACGCCGACAGCGGGTGGCTCAGCAAGAATGGCGACGCGCCGCTCACCTGCCGCTGCTCCTGTCCAGGGCGACCACCGACGAGCCGGAGGAGGAGCCGGTGGTGTTGGCCGAGACCGTGGACGGCGTCGGCCGGGCCGGCAGTGGACTGGACACCTGCGCGCACGGGCGGCCGCGGGGCACGGTCACACGCGGTGGAGGCGGTCAGTTGGAACGGCGCTCGATGCACGCGTGGAGGTGCGGGTTCGATTCCCAGGTCACGCTGAGACTTTGCGGATAAGTGACTCACGCAGTTGCCAGTGCTCCACGAGAACGCTGCGTGACGCAAGAAGGAGTGCATTTCTTTAACAATTGCCATTCCTGTCGAAACGTCAGCAGTAGAAACGATAACTCAGCTTACGAGGATATTGCTTCCTGCACTGAGGCAGCACCTAATGCCCATATCATGGTTGCCAGAACAGGCACCAAGAATTAGTTTCTGTTTTTTTCCAGGGTAAGAGGCAAAATTTTCTACGAAACCCTGCAAAATCGGACTTAAGTTCTGCAAAACCATTCCATACACCTCTTGTCTTACGGACAATGTTGGGGCACAGCCCTATGGTCCACGGTCATGACCTATGGCCCCCTTCCCCTTAGCCACGTCTTTGAGCGAGCACGCTCCTCGTACCTGACTGCTCTCGGAGGAGGACACCCGCAGCATCTGGCGCCGTGTCTGACTGCCCTTCTGGCACACCTGTACGCGTGCCGAGAACGACAGGCCGTCACGTGCCGCCACGTGGCCCACGTGCTCCAAGCTGAAGGAGCAGTGCAGCAGTGGACACGTGCTGCTCCACACGTGCCGGAACGGGATCTCCTGCGGGGACGCGCGTCCGTGAGCTCGGCACGTGTACGAGCTGGTGCTAGCAGCGGCACAGCATAGTGCAAATAGGTTGGGGCAGATACTATTTATCGCAATGCATATGCACAGCCAGATCTACCCATGATTTAGAATCCACGGTGCCGGTTCAATTCAACGCATCTTACGTTGCCACGGGTTTTCATCTATTCCAACCCTTATCGTGAAACTTAGCACAGCATATTCCTTTAAGGTAATAAAATATGTTCACACTTCTGGACAAACCAGGAGTATATGCACTGACCACAACTTTTATTTTAAAGTTCATTCCGGGGCATGGCATGTGACCGACGCATCGGCCACGTAATACAAGAGCCAAGAACATTTACTTACACGAACGGAACAAATCTGACGGCGCAGAGCTGACCAATGGGTTAACCTCTGACCGAGCTCTTCTGACCACACCCACAACTTCGACCTCTGACCCAACCGACCTGGTAGTCGCCCTGCGGCTTGCACTTCCATCCGAGGCTGAGATCCTCCAGTGCCAGACAGAGGCTGGCTCCTCCACTCTGGAACAGCATCGTCTTCGGCTTGTCCAGCAGCCGGCCGCCCAGCTTCCTCTCCAGCTGCAGCACGCTCTGAGGAACGAGACAGTGGTTATGAGACGTCACAGTGCAGTTGACAGGGTCTCGCAGTTCGACGCGGGAGGCCCGGGTTCGATTCCCGGTTCAGGCAACAGTCGCCAGTGTCAACTGAATCATGTAATCGCTAGCGTATCATGAACCAGTCCCCGGTCGCAAGCGTAGTGCACCGCTCAAGAAAACGCAGAGGTTTCATGTGTCAGAACAGTAGCGGACGGCGAGCGTAAACACCGGATGGTGGTGGACGCAAAGCGAGCCGGTATTTCGAGAAGGCAGGATGCACCGATGCCTGGGTTTTCCACCACGGCACGTGGTCACAACTGTGCGGTTGTGCCTAGGGGCTTGCAGATGCGTACGCTTAGCGAGCCGTATGTCACAATGGTGGTCGAGTTAGAACCAGCGAACAACGCGACACTACACTAGGGGATCGAACTAAAAATATTATCCAATACATAATAATATAATAATAATAATCCAGTCCAATGACGAAAACATCGTAAGCGTTACACCGTTGGGCCTGCCATTGCCTACTGAAAAGCAGCCTGGAACAGCCCTTACCTCACCAACTGATGGAACGAGGACATCAAAAGATCCCGTAAAAAAAGGCAAACAATAACAGATTGACTAAATGCATTAACGCCGAGTGTTTTGTTCTCGTTGTCTCTCAAGGATATCAATATAAAATTGTCACACAAACCTGCGTAAGCCCCACGGGCGAAAGGCGCCAAAATACTCCTACGACCGTAATCTCTACCAATATCAGCATCCGTCGGTAGGGTCCGATACACGAAGTGACGTCACGTTGTAACGTCATCGGATCACTGCCGGTCTTACCTCGAAGGCGGCCTTGGTGTCCTCGATGACGTAGACGCGTATGCAGTACTCGGTGGAGCCCTGCACCAGACGAGGTCCGAAGGCCGCCAGCTTGAGATTCTTCACCGCCGGACCTGTGGCGGCAGTGGCAAATTATGGCAAGGACAGCGCCAGTGGCAACGGCTGGTTATGGTTTATCTGCTGCTAAAGATGACGCCATCTGCTCAACTTGATGATCTCGCACTGCTTTTCATTGCTTACCTCAGCGGCAAATCTAGTGTAGAACCATGTTTTCCATCCTGTTTCTTTGACGCTATGTCATCATGTGCTAAACATTGATCACATCCCCCTCACCGTAAAAAACAGCCTCAGGTTAAAACATGAATATATATATATTTGGGGAGCATTCCGCCAGTTGCAAATCGTTAATTTAACAAAATTTTGCTTTTCCTCGCCACTGCTGGTGAGTTCGACACGAATGAATTACGGCACGCTCTAGGCCACGTGTCATGTACCAACCACGCTACTGCGCAGCTCTTGTGTGTGTAGCGCATAACTGAAGTCGTCACGTGCTCCTTTGTCGCTACAGATAGTGCGTACGCACCACGTGACTGAACAAAGCGTGTAATGCGTCACCATGACACTGCTGGCGCCATGGCACGTGCCACCGAGCGGCGCGCTCACCGCTGCTGGTCGGCTCGCCGACCAGGACGAAGCGCTGCAGGCACTCTGTCATGATGTGGACCTTGCTCTGGTCCACCTGGGTGTACACCGGCGTGTTGATCGTCTCCTCGCCCAGCATGACCACGCTCTGCTGGGGAGGGGAGGGGAGGAGGGACGTGAGACAACAGGGAAAACATGAGGCGACGAGGGACGAACGTGGGACGATGGGGAGCACATGAGACGAGGGGGGGGGGGCGGACGTACAACAAAGGAGAGCATATGAAATAATGGCAATAGACAGTGTAACGCACAGACAGGCACTGTGAAAATTGGGCGCGGATGGAATGAGCATCCTTGTGGCGGCTGTTCGGGGCCGGCTGTAGATCGGACAGATGAATGTCAACTGCGCGTGAGGCTTATTTACGCATCAACCATTGGGAAGAACTTTTCTCCAGAGAATGTTCATACTGAATTAGGTACTGGTGGTAAACTGCAGAACGTCTTACGACAAGAGTAATGAAAAAATAAAGTCAAAAGCAAACTTGGACAATAAAACCAACGGAAGATGTCAAACCCTCAAAGATACCTCACAACAAAACCGCAGTGTAAGGAGCGCAATCCTGAGCATATTCCAGACACAAGAACCTATGTCCCTTGCGGAAAACATGACCTAATGCTATCAGTGTATGACCCATAGCCAAGGATATACCACCCGAACCCGGCGACCCATGCATGACCTGCCCCAAGGCCATGGCCACTGACCTCCCACTGCGGCGGTTCGTCCGGCTGACTCTCAGAGCCGTACACGGACACGTTCCAGTTGGTCTTGAGGTTGGCGCAGTGGTGGAAGCTGAGGACGACCGGCTTCAGAAACTGGGCGCCCGGCGGTCCGGCCAGCACCACCGGCGACAGCAGCGTCTCGTGGTCTGCCGCGCAGGTCAAGTCAGGTCAGGTCAGGGTAGCGAAGGTCAGATCAAGGAGACATGACAGGCCAAATCAGATCGAGGTTATAAACAACAATATCTAAAAAAGGCTGTAATTCACTGATATGCCGAGCAGGCGCGGCCAGATCCACAAACAAACACAATGCCCGGGAGAACAGGCAACTCTTGCTCTGCAGATCAGGAGAGCGCAACCCAGGTACCCGCAGAAAGTTCAGCAGCATCAACGCGGTCTTTGCACGAAAATGCCGAAGCCGATAAGCATTCTTGATATCGCAGTGCGTTCGCACCAGAGCTAACTACGCTTAACGCATCACTTTACAGCAAATCACGCTCATCTTCACCTTCCTAAGCCACATCTCGCGCGCCTTACCGACCGCACACCCAGCCGACCGCACACCCTGCCAACCGCACACCCTGTCGACCGCACACACTGTCGACCGCATGACCTGCCGGCCGCATACCCTGCCGGCCGCACACCCAGCCGCGTCGGGCGGTATCCAGGCTGCCATATTGCCTGAGCTGCCGCATCGGCCCATACTCGGGCTGCCACATTGACTGACCCGGGCTGCCATATTGCCTGACCTGCCAGCTGAGGTCGATCCTTGGCGTCACTCATCACGGCCAGGTACACCTCCTCCCGTTGGCCAGGCGCCACCGCCCCCTCCGGAATCATCAGCGTCACGCCCGCGTCCGCCAGGGTAAGCGCCGCTCCCGCTGACGTCACTGGAAACACGCGGAAGTGACGTTACTCGAAGCGCGCGAGTGACTTCGAAACAAAACAACGAGGAGGTACAAAACGAGGCATTCACACCTAAGACGCGCATATCCGTCTTATGTCGATGAGTGCTTCTGAGAACAGCCAACTGCTTATATGAGCAGCAGCTGGTATCCTTCCTTTGCGGACGCGCAACCCTTTAACGATTCCAATAAGTAGCACTGTCCTTACCCGTGCCGAACTCGAGGTTGTCCGGGTTGACACCAGATGGCAGGGTGGCCGAGAGCAGTGATTGGCGGCAGGACGCCGGCTCGACATCATACAGTGAGTTGGGTCGTGATGTGGCTGAAAATAAATGTTTGCGGGTTGGAAGACTGGCAAGCTTGCATGGAAACATTCTCCATTATTTTCGTCGATCTGCCATGCCATTAAGGTAGCACACCATGCATTTGTATCTGCACTCCAGTTTTTCACGAAGAACGAATGATACAATATGGCTTGACAATGACCGTGTTAAACCTAAAACATGGGGATTTTCCGAGAATATTCCTGTCGATTGCCACATGTGTGTCCCGAAGCCAACACCCCACCTAAAATGTCTCGCCTTAATCACTGACTCAGACATCGTTGGCAGCTACGCGACCGATGAACATTGGTGTTGAACGCGCCACGAATAGATCGTTGTTTCACAGTCATTGTGTCATGTGACTACTAGATCTGCAACATAAAAAACAACATGACACTCACAGGCTCGTTAAAACCACAGAAAGCTTCACTCACGCGAGCTGCAGTACGAAGAAGAACTATGCGGCGGGTTGTCGGAGTTGGGGTTCCCGCGACTCGCCAGAGATGGCGCCACCTGATCGCTGTCCCCGCCAGAATACTGTGCCGCGTCCATGTGCTTTACCAAAAAGAGGTGCGGCTCGTCGTAGTGGTGCTCGGATGGCGAGCTCAGGAGCGCTGCAGGTCACGCAGATCACAGGGGTCACCGAAGTCACGGGGTCAGGCAAGACTGCCGGTCAGGCAGTTACGCAGGTCACGTGGGTACTCTGGGCAGCCTGTCGTGTATTAGAGTCTCTTCTGTCGGCATGGTGCTCTGAAGAAAATATGGATAGGTTTGCGAGTCATGCTCAAATATATGTTAATGTGATGACACAAATAATTTTTTTATCTACGAAGTTGTGTGCTCCTAAGTAACCATAGTTAACTTCACAGCTGTTCACAATGACCTTCCCGTTTCTACATTTACACACTTTGACAGATATGTACAGCTGTGCATCAAACTTCAGTATGGCAGACATTTAGCACGAATTGAGAGAACGTTGCCCATATGCCCGTCTCCAAATTGCGATTTGTCCTTCCATTTAGCATTTCTAGAGACAGGAATTTCACGTACACTGTGCATCAAGGTACAAGTGAAATTAATGTCATAACACTCTTTTTTGGTGTTGTCAGATTCGACTGACCAGTCTTGTTGCTGTTCGGGTCGCCGTAGGAATAGTCGTTGTTCAGACTGGGCGCCGCCGGGTTCATGATGGCAACGCTAGATGTCAGGTCAGGCGCATAACCCAGCTGCTTTTTCGAATTGTCGTAGTAGCGAGCTTCGTAGTCTGAAATAGATTTCAATATGGATACATGAATGTATGGTTAAGGAAGCATCATCACCCTTCTCAAAAAGAGATTTCCTGTAAGCCCTGCAGATGTTCCAATGAATACATGGATGACTTGAATCTCATGAATCTATTGCCTCTCAAATCTCATGAAACTTCCATCTCAGCCTTTGCACTATCACCCACGGCCATTGCACAAATAAGCGCGCAAATAGGCTGCCGCTGCATCATCGTTTGACCAGTCCCAGCTCCCTCCAAAAGTAAGACATCGTCTCTCTTCTTTCGGCAACCTCTCTCGTCTTCTGATGAGTTAATGCTGTGCAAACTGTTACCCATCTCACCGAACCTGTAACTTTTGACCCACCTCTCTCGGTGAGCCCGTACATGCTCTGGCCGCGGCCCTTGCGTCGGTACAGCTTCAGGGCGATCAGCGCGATCATCGGAAAGACGAGCAGGGCCACCGCCAGACCGACATACAGCGCCACGTCCGACTGCGCCACCGCTCGAGCCGCTGCAACAAAACACAACACATGTCAAAAACACGCATCAACACAATACAGAACTCCGCCAAACCAACGTGGAGGAAACTTCAGACTGTCACCAATGGCGCCAACGACGTTAGATTGTGTCGCCGCTAGAGCTAATGCAATACAACACGAGGCATGCCAACATAAGGCCTGTACGCACAACACAGACATCAGCCAAACATAAGACATGTTCGCACAACACAGACACCAGCCAAACATAAGACATGTTCGCACAACACAGACACCAGCCAAACATAAGACATGTACGCACAACACAGACACCAGCCAAACAGCCCTCAGAGCCATGTCAGACCATGTCAAACTACGCCTGTAGACCGCCCAGACTGACCGTGTAGTCGCACCACAACGCAGCACGCGCCAACGCAGCACAGGCACAACGTCAGACCACCGTGTGGCAATGTGAGGATATTGAGGCATTGCTACAGACGGATATGAAGCAATGGTAGTGAAGGATATGAAACATTGGTACTAAATAATATAGAAGCTTTAAAGTCCAGGAAAAATTCCTCGGACGACTAGGTAGCCAGCTCGCAGCATGAGTTTCCCCTAAGGCTGAGCACATAAATGTGAATGTCTTTTCCAAAAAGACGAAAACGATCTGTGACCAAAGTCATGAGACGCCGGAACTAATACCAAACCCAGCTAAACTCGGAGTAGTCACTGGGGTCACGTCCTTTAAGTCTGGGTTGGCGGGGAGAAAGTTCCGTGACATCGCCATGAACGAAAGCTCTGTCCCATGGCACGATGGCGACTGACGAGAACAAAGACCGAAGGTATTAAAACTGACGAAGTGGCAGTGGTGGGCGAAGTCCCACGACCGCAAACGTGCCGCCGACAACACCACCCCATCGGCGGCGTGTTTCAATTCGTGGCTGCCCATGCCTGCTCTAATGACCACACCAAAGCCGATTTCGATGTTCAGGGCGGCGAACAATGGACGATTATTCTGGGCCCACGGCGCGCCCGTTCCAGACCATGTCGAGGGCGGAGTCGGTCGCAGCTGCTGCTGACGGCGCGGTGGGGAGACACATGATGCTTGGGATCGCAGAGCTCTCGGCTTCCTTTGCCACTGCCGTGGACAGAGCGAGGAAGAGAAACAAGGACCCTCGCCGGCCTTCCTTCGCCATTGCCGTGAATAGTCTTAGGGCGAGGGGGGGGGGATAGAAGAGACGCCCGCAGCGGTGGTCCAACGATGAACACAGCTACAGACTCAGAGGGAGAGATTTACATGAATTTGAAAACGAGTACTAGTTCAATAGCATATATTACAAATATTTTGGGCTCCGAAAAAAAGGTTTTGGGCTCCACATGCAAGAATGACCTTCCAACAGCACGTAACCACCTACGCGCAACAGTGGTCTTCAAACGCTTACACCATAGGCCAGATCGTTTGGTTTGACTCGCACCGAGGCGTGAGCAACTACAAAAAGACCACAAAAGTCTCGCTCTGGGCGCGTGCGCGGGTTGTATGCCGGTGAAACCGGAGAACGCAGAGTCGGTTTGTTAGAGACGTCGCCATGGCGACGCCGCGAGCTCCCCGCCGTGATTCGTGTGCCACGAGCGAGGCGGCACGCCGCTTGAGGTGACAATGGCGCCGCTCGCGGCTCATGACGGTTCGTCACGTCACGACCCAGCGATCCGGGACGCGACGGTTGACCGCCGCTCGTGATGTTACCTGGCGTGGCCCGCCACGGATGTTTTTTTTACCTCCTTCGGTCATCGACGCGCTACTGGCGGATGACAAGTCATTGAGACTTGAGCGGCCTGCTATCCGACGGCTCATGAACGAGGCCCTAGTTGGTTCGAGGGCATCATTCTGGAAGGCTTGAATATATAATATTGCAAACAACAAGGGGATAATCTTACCATGGCAAAGCGCGAAAGGAGTGACAAATTCCAAAATATCTGGGAAATTGGCTTTGTAAAATGCCCTCACTTTCATATGGAGAATCAACACCACAACCGCTCGAACACCTATTACGTGAGGGAAGGCACCACGCCGGTCCCAGTAACAGTGAGGCCACAGAATCTGCCCACACCACACAAAGTCTGTCCCACTTGAACTCAACGTATGCCGATTAAAATACGACTAAGCTCCAAAGAGGACTTTGGTGTCTGAATGACCTAGCTGTGTTAGGTTATCACCACCTGTCGCGTCGGTGGACGATGGTCGTAAGCGTTATATGTCAAAGCGTTAATGTCAAAGCATCGAATTTGAGTGCAACACCGCGGTGCGTGCTGAAAATACCCTCCAAGTAACTGCCTGCACTTTCAAAGAACTGTCTCAACCCAATGTCCGAAACATGGCCATGGCCATGGTTTACATGTGTCTGGCACATCTGTCTACACATAGGTTACCTAATGCTTCCTCCTACACTCGACCTTAGATGCCGACATGCCGTTTTGGAAAATATCGTATACATGAGACCACGCTCAACGATCTACCGATGATGATGATCTACCGATCTACCGACCTCGATGCATCCCATGCGCATCTTGCCAAAACCTTCGTTGAAACGACTTACATTGAGCACATACGCTTATCAAAAGATAGGACACCGCCACGGACAATACTGACTTTTTGACTCTTTGACTCTGAAAGGCTCTTTGCGTCTAAAAGACTCTTTGACTCTGAAAGACTCTTTGAAACTCTGCGAGACTCTGAAACTTATTTATCATATCATCAAAGATGACGCTTTGGCCGTCCAGTTAACAGAGCAGTCGAACTAAAAAGGCGGCAACCACTGCGCCGGCCGCAGATAATCCCACATGCCAGCACTTAATCTTCCGCTCCTCTAAATGCAGGTTCCATGCCTGACAGGAAGAGGCGCATCTCCCGAGTTTCCGCATTGTCCTCCCCTCCCCGTCGGCAGCGCGCCAAGCGGCATGCCGCGGCGATCGCGGCGCAGATAACATTCACCTGCAGCGGCGCGGCTGATTCCTATGCGGCGCACCGCGCCGCGCCGACATTGTCTCTCGCCAGAGATACGCATCTGGGCGGGAAAACAAACAGCGAGCTGGGTGACCGGCGGCGCTTCCAGAGACGCCTCGTGTCGGTACGGCGCGCGGTCAGGGACTGGCCGGGCGGGGTCAGTCGGCGACTACATTCGACAGGTCAGCGGCGAGAGCGGGGAGGTATTCCGGTGGGTGTGCAGGATGTACAAATTCACGCGACTTTTAGGGATTTTTTTAGACTTTTTGGGTTGACAATCCGACTGATTCGGGACACGCTGACGGCGTTTTGGATACTTTTTGGATCCTCCAGCGACCCTCGCTAGCTTGAGGCGGTGATTTACATTTGACTTGGCACTAGACATAAGTCTCAGCCAGCCGTTACTTCAGCCGCTCCGAAGAGTGAAATCACATAGAACATTTTTTGCGACTGCTATCCTTGCCGAGTTTTAGACGTATTCGTTAAGCACCAATACATCCGACGAAAGACGATGCACGAACAGCACAACATGCCATCTCTGGAGATCAATCTATCCAGCGTGCATTCCATTCCTTTGCGCGTCCCGACCGCATAGCAGTGCCAGCCCAGCGGAATATTTTCGGAGCAATTTTCGGGCCATGCATCATATACTGATAACATCCCGGCCGTATACACACGACGCGTCATCACTTCCAGCACAATTAGTCACCCTCGCCCCTCGCCCCTCTCCCCGCCTCCCCGCCTCCCCGCCTCCTCCGCCTCCCCCAGCCTGCCCGCGCCCGAAAGCGCCGATGCCGCTACACTCCCTCACGGAGGCCGCCCCCAGAATGGATCCAGCCGACCGTGGGCACTTCCTGTCAGGAGATGCCGCCGGCGGGGAGACGACCGCCGCCGGCGCGCCCGGGGTATGACGCCCGAGGGGAGCGGAGGAACACCCCCATCGGGCTGAGCGGGGCTGTGGGGCTGGCCGGGCTGCAGCCAGCGAAGCATGGAACACATTTGTGTCACAGCAAACCAAAAAACCAAGGAAACTAAGCATGTCTGTGTAGAGATGAAGGAAAGGACTTAATGAGATCGAAACGAGCTTGTCTTACCAATACATGCTGATACTTAAATGCATTTGAGCGCAAATGTAGCTATTTTTAGTTTTACATGCATCTGCCTGCTGTGTGAGAGAACGACGGTGGTGAGTTTTTTTTTCCTGCGTAACATAGCTCAATGCGTAAACGAGCTGCGTAAAACCACGGTTCGCGGCAAGCGTAGCCAGCGATCTCAACGGCCCACGCTCCATCCCCCACCGATGGCTGCGCGCCGCACATGCCCGCGCCATTACGGGGCCGGCGAGCACCGCTTCGGGTCGCGAAAACGCGGGAATGCTGTGTTTACTACGGCGACACGGTAGCGGAGTGTAAACAGCGCGACACGCCCCGCGCTGGTAAACACAGCGCCGCTCCGAGCGCCCCGCGTCATTAGCCGACTCCGATTACGGCTTCTGTGTGGCGAGGGGTAGACGGAGTGATAAAACTGCGCGGCTGGGGTTGCGGCGTCGGGCAGGGTGCGGCTCGGGTCGGTGTGCCAGCCGCGCACTCTGAAGACCCTCCGCGTCCTGATACGTCACCCCCTCCCCCACGTCACGACACGTCACACCCCTCCCCTCCCCCACGTCACGACACGTCACACCCCTCCCCTCCCCCACGTCACGACACGTCACACCCCTCCCCTCCCCCACGTCACGACACGTCACACCCCTCCCCTCCCCCACGTCACGACACGTCACACCCCTCCCCTCCCCCACGTCACGACACGTCACACCCCTCCCCTCCCCCACGTCACGACACGTCACACCCCTCCCCTCCCCCACGTCACGACACGTCACACCCCTCCCCTCCCCCACGTCACGACACGTCACACCCCTCTACATCACAAGCCAACCCCTCCACGACACGACACGTCAACCCCCCTCCCCCAACCCGCGTCGCGACACGCCAAGCCCCTCCACGTCCACGTCACAACACGTCACACAACTCCACGTCACAGGTCAATCCCTCCACGTCACGACACGTTAAATCCTTACGTCACGACACACCAAATCCCTCCACGTCACGACACGTTAAGTCCTTACACGTCATGACGCACAAAACCCCACACCAAATCCCTCCACGTCACGACACGTTAAGTCCTTACACGTCATGACGCACAAAACCCCACACCAAATCCCTCCACGTCACGACACGTTAAGTCCTTACACGTCATGACGCACAAAACCCCACACCAAATCCCTCCACGTCACGACACGTTAAGTCCCTACACGTCATGACGCACAAAACCCCACACCAAATCCCTCCACGTCACGACACGTTAAGTCCTTACACGTCATGACGCACCGAACCCCCTCCACGTCACGACACGTCAAATCCCTCCACGTCACGGCAAGCCAAACCCCTCCACGTCACGACTCGTCAAATCCCTCCACATCACGACACGCCAAACCCCTCCAAGTCACGACATCAAACCCCTCCACGTCACTCCACGGGTGGGGATTATAACGGTGCGTGGATTACGGGATGGTGAAAGAATCGGTCAACATGGCTTGCGAGCATTTGAATAGGTTGACTTAATCACCTGATGAATGCATCAGGATGAATAAGATAACTGCAAGAGAAGTTACACAATACACTTAAGAAATGTACAAAAAAATACATAAAAAGGCATTTGCACGTTCACGCAGTTCGTACTGTACCAAATTGAGAAGAGAAGGAGCCCATCAACATTTGGAAAGACAGAAATACTTGTTGGTCACTTTATGTTAAACTTAATATGGCACATTGAGCGGCTTATATTCAGCTGTTTGCAAAGTGCGTGTGTGGGGGGGGCGGAGGGGGCGGGGTAAGTCCATCTGCCCCGCCGCTTTCGCGCCCCTGGTAATAAACGTAACGCCAGACACGCATACGAGGTCAACACATTCTGATGGAACGCTCACAAAACACATTCTGATGGAACGTTAACACAACACATTCTGATGGAACGCTAACACATCGTACGCAAAACCGACGCGTCACAACACGAACCCTGTATTAGTCAGCCCCCGTCAAAACACACCAACACCCTTCAGCTTCACAGCATTTCAATAAAAGAACCAATCAACTCGCCGCGTTCCGCGCGTTAACAATCAGTGACGTCACACGCAAATTCCCTCTGAAGACGGGCAGGACCGGTCTAAGAACGTACCTTGATCGGTTCTTGTTCGCTCCAGGCCCGGCAGCAGTCCGCCTGCGGAACAGTCAAATAAGCTGTCAGCTTGACAGGCGTGATTACGCGGCGTGAGCAGGCGTGATAAAACGGCGTGAGCGGACGTGGTAAGACAGCGTGAGCAGGCGTGACAAGACAGCGTGAGCAGGCGTGATAAGATCGCATGAGCAGGCGGAAAAAACACAGAAGACGGCATAGTGCGATCAAAAATATTTCCGCCCATCGCAATGCCTGGTGTGATGATTTGTGTCGTGACGTTAAACTGACGTCGTTGGTACCTCCAAACCGTGCGTTCAAAATCGTTGCGATAAGCACCTTTCGGTCGTTATGTGATGCATGTAGGTGTTTTATCCTATAATATATGTGCTATACACGGATACAATATACATTTATCTTTAACTGCACTACGGTAATAATCTTTTGATCGTCATATGACAAATAACCAACATCGATTGTTAGTGATGAAGCATGAAAGTAACGCATGGCACCATAGACGCCAATGCAATATGACAAATCGCCTCAAATGGGCGCGGCAGAAGAAAATATGCGCGTGCGGCTACTGCAAAACCGACTGAAAGGAATCTGGAGGCCGATAAAGAGAACGGGTTGCAATATTTGCAGGGCGCAATTCAGGTAGTGTTCGGAATGCCCCATAAAAGTTTGGAATGTTCCACTCGCTGGTGACAGCTTAGCACCCAACTTACGCAGAAGGTGGGGGGCTTTGCCGAAAGTCTGGTGTTATACTGCCGACGAAGAGCATCACCCAAGCATGGCTTAGAGAGGGTGTGGACCGCAAAGTGGTCCTCAGCCATTGCTGCGTATGAAACCAACCCTCATGACCAATTGTGAACGCGAGTTGAAGTTGTCATGTGACGTGATGCGATTGTGCCAATAAAATAACGCGAGTGAGCGAGCGAGTGACATGAGTCGCAAGTGATTCATATAACGCATACGGTCTCATCAACCCACACACGTACGCAGTCACGCGTGAGATGACCGACTTTGTGTGTGAATAACATGATCACAAACCCTTGGCGGAGCCATCTGGTTTGAATCCACCTGCCCCTCGGTTTACGAGGGGCTGATCACCAAGCGGTCATCAACACCAACTCACCATGTCGCCACGTCACCAAGTCATCACGTCACCAAGTCATCGCGTCTCCAAGTCATCGTGTCACCAAGTCATCACGTCACCAGGTCATCCATCATCAAGTCGCCACTTCACCACGCCACCAAGTCATCACGTCACCAGGCCATCCATCAGGTCACCACTTCACCGCGCCACCAAAGCATCACGTCACCAGATATCATGCCATTAAGTCAGCAAGTCATCATGTCACCAAGTCACCAATTCAGCAAGTCACCAGGTCACCGACCCCGCTCCGTCGGCAGGCGGGTCACGCGCCTGACCTGTGCACTCAGTCTCTGAGCAGTTCCTGGAGACGCGGTCGGGTCCGGCGCACGGCCGGCCGCCGTGCTCGGGCGGTGGCGCTGAGCACGAGCGGCGCCGGTACTGCCGGCACGACGCGTCGCATGCTGACCAGTCGCCGTACTGGCTCCAACCGCCCGCCACCGCTGCCGGCCAGGGGCAGAGAGGTCAGGGGTCGGCACGACACGTCACACGCCGACCAGTCGCCGTACTGCCTCCAGCCACCCGCCACCGCTGCCGGTGAGGGGCAGAGGTCAGGGGTCGGCGGAGCGCCACCCAATGCTGCGAGGAGGGGATGGGTCCGCGGTACACGGGTTGGCAAGGGCGCCGCTGCTGCGGCGGGTGCAAGGTCAGGAGCACAGGGGTGCCACCGCTGCGGGCAGGGGTGAGGTCAGGAGCACAGGGGAGCAGGGAGAGAGAGGCGCGTTGAGCTAGGTTACTCGAAGACACAACCCGGTTGATGTCGAGGAAAGACAGCTAATAAAAAATGAGGATGTAGATGCATATGAAATAATGAAGCCATGTTATTGGACGGATGCAGATGCAATACATTGGCGCAAGTCGGATAATACCGTGCCGGCATCAAATGATGCAATCATTTGTTAAAAGCGCGATGTCCTGATTCAGAACATGACACTCTAGGCGAAACACGACGCCGTTCAGCTATCACATCCTGACATTATGTCTGCGGGAACAATTATAACCTCACTCTAGGTCAACACTAAAAGATAGAGAAGCCTAACACCATGTAACGTCGTCTAAGCTGGCGTACAGCCGCCACATGCGATCAATTGATACCACAAAACACCTCATTACGTCAACGCAGGAATTAGATAGACGCTTATCACCATCTGACGCTGGTAAACGTACAGCCACTTACACGCACCAGAACCCAAAATGTGCCTGCGAAGCATTCACGACGCTCATGTTCCATGCCAGCCTGTCACTCACAAATCAAGCAGCGTCTCCCCAGAAAGGTCGTGACGCACTAGCTGTCCATAACCCCGCCCCGCTCCAGCCGGCGCGGGCGACGGCTCACAATCATGCACGATTTATCCGTCACGCTGGCCAATTCATCCCCATGTCGCCCGCACAATTACACGTATCCAGTTTCAGCAATTGATTTTTATGGCGGTGGCTCTCCGCACGACCCATTAAGCCAGCGCGGGACATTTAACAAGCTCGCTGGCGGCCGGCCGGCTTACTCAGCCGGGGCTGCCGTCCCGGGCAGACAAAGGCGATGCCCTCCACTGGAGATACGACGCTGACTCAGGCAGCGGCGCGGTGGGCCGCTCCCCGGCAGATAACATGTAATGACGGACGTCTCGGCGACGCGCGAGGCAAGTCCGGTCTTCCGCGGGGGCGGGTTTGCAGGGGCGCTGCAACGCGCGTTTTGTCCCCCGTTAGGAGGGCCAGTAAGTTAGGAACCGGACTGCGAATGGCTGGCCTCCGTTCGCGAAATCATCAGAGCTAACGGCTTATTGCAATACTGTGTGAGGTCCGTTTGTAACGAACTGCTCTGGAGCAGATCAACGGTGATAAGATGCTGCTAAAGGGAGTTCATAACATTTCAGTGTGTGGTCAGTGCAGGCGGTGATCGATGTGATTGGTGTGATCGGTGTGACTGATGCGCTCTTGCCGGCGAAACCCTCGGTAGAACCTTTACCGCAGCGAATTATTAAAACCCGTCCGAAACATCGCGCATGCATCCGTGGTATCTCCTCGCAATATTCAATAACCAACACACGGAGCGGGGGGGGGGGGGGGGGGACATGGCGTTTTGCCGCCGCCTAGCACGTGCTGCCCCTCCCGCATGCCTGACGCCGTCCCTGCCAGCTCAAGATGGCGGCTTCAGGCCCGGAACAAATCATGATATACGACAATAATGCACGTGATACTGATAATGATACTGGTGATGCTCGATGATGTGAACAATTACGTATAGTGAACAAACTATAACATATAACTATGACGAATAATATGAATGAATACCAGCGACCATGGAGTCAATAACATCTGTTGTGGCATTTTCCGCATGCGACACCGAAAAGTGCGATCGCCCACCCACTTTTAATGAAGTTTCAAATTTTGAGTTCGCCTTTTGGCCGCGCATGGCACACGTGTACCTGTGGCGGCGTATGGCCAGCTTCGGGTTAAAACATGTGTTTGGGGGGGGGGCTCCTACGCCGCTGCCTTACCCATGCCCTCCCCATCCTGAGGTGACAGTGTTGCGACTGCAGGAGAGAGTGTCCGCCATGTCGTGACGACATGGCGTCATGTCCTGTCCGCTTGTGTTCTCAGGCGTGAGCCCACAACGCCAAATGTTCATCTGTCACGCCCAACAACGCCGGGTGTCTGCCTGTCCCCACTTGACCTCGTGTTCTGTCTGTCCGGAGTCCGGCGGCGGACGGCCGGCGGCAGGTGTGTTTGACAGGGTCGCAGGGTCATGGCCTCGGGTGAGAAGCGACGGTTTCCGGCGTGCGTGCGTCACGGCATCACGTAACCAATGTGACGGCGTCACGTAACCAAGTGCGATCGATTAAAAATGTTATGGCCATTGATGTTACGGTACCGACTGTCGACTGTTGACCGTTACAGTAACGACGATCACCGACAACAGCAGCCATACCCTAGCCATATCCAGACGTAAGTGCGGGTAAGTCTCCAACTGAAGCTCGACCCGACGTGGCAAGAGCCAAGCGCTAACCGATTAAAAACGCTATGGCCGTTAATGCAAGGATACCGGCTGTCGACTGTTGACTGTTACGGCAATAACGGTCGCCGACAGCGGCGGCCATATCCAATATTCATATCTATATCATATCCAAACGTAAGCGGCAGTTGGTCTCCAACGGAAGCAGCGGAAGTCGAAGTTAGCACGGGAACAGTAGCAAGGTGAACGTGCTTGCGGCTGGACGAGACGTGGCTGTGCTGTTACAACGCACACACTAAGGGGCGCCATGCCAAACGCAACAGGCGAGGAAACTCGCAAGACTGAAAGCCAGAGCAACAATACAACCGCAATGCCTCTTCAGCAAGCATACACTGATGTACCATGAATGTTGGTTGTATTGATTTTGACCCATTCACGCAGCCTTGGGGCAGGTGACATTCATTATTTGATAAATCGCTCAGGATGTATGCGGAAGTGAAACCGGAAATTACAGTCACAAAGGCCTATGGAAAGTGACAGGATTGTTACAACTGACAAATCACATGCAAAAGAGAAATGTGTGCAGGAAAACGGGCATGATCGCCGATGAAAAGAAAAGTATACGTGCCGACGTGATGGTCGTCTACTACATGTCCATAGAATATGTTTACGTTGCTGGCTTTGAGGACATCTCTGACCAACGTTTAATTTTGCGGTTTATTTTACAAGAGAGCATTTTCAGTTCTCTGCCAATGACCACCTGCTAGTTTTTGATGACACGAACACAAACTAAGGCATGTGTCGTTTGCAAATTGCAGGCGTCAATGACGAGATGTTCTGAAGACATCCTTTTGAAACGTCAACGCTTTTAATCTAGGCATTTCTTCTGAAAGGTTTTACTGGACGGAAATCTTATATCAGCTTTCTTTGCTGCATTCATCACAAAGCATGCCCCACAGCACCAAGAAACCGCCAAACTTACATTTCAACTCCAGCCATCCAGGGCCGGGAAAAAACACTCAGAGCCGGAGCCACAGTCACTCCACGGAGTGTGCACTCACGTGGGCAGAGTGAGTTGCACTCGGCCGTCTGGCGGGCGGGGCCGCGGCACGCCTGGCCCCCGTTGAGCGGTCGCGGGCTGTCGCAGGTACGTCGCCGCGTCATCTGACCCGGACCACACTGCGGGTTACAGTCGGACCAGGCGCCCCAGCTGGACCAGCCGCCGTCCACTGCAACAAGGCGGACGTCGTTAGGGGCCGGCCAGAGACGGCAGGAGAGCACACAGGTGGGCGACGTCAGGGCCCGATCGGAGACAGCGGGGGAGCACACAGGGGGCGTCGTCAGGGGCCGGCCAGGGACGGCAGGAGAGCATACAGACTGGCAGGACCAGCCAGTGTGCACTGCAACAGGGGAGCACCGTAGGGGAGCACCGCCCATGGGGAGCACCGCCAAAATCCGATCAAAGGACCAGGTCCAGTCCAGGTTAAGGACCAGTCAATAAGGATGAAGATTGCACTCAGACACCCGTTGATGATGCGGAGGCATCGGGCGATAACGAAGCGGCCTCTTCCCCACACGAATTGACATTTGGCACGCGCATTTTGCGTTACTAGGTAGTCCTTGCATTGGACAACCAACACAAGCAGACGTTCATGGTCCAGAGCTTCCAAACATACCGGATCAACTTTTACATTGACCTGGGGAGGGGCAACACACGTCAATAACGCGCCGCTACCCAGCCGGCTAGGTCGCCACCCAGCCACGTGCAGCATCGAGGTCAGTGACTCCGTCCGTCAAGGCCTCACAACAGGCCAGCCGCCTTCAACAGCAGCTGAGGCGACCGCGCAGTTCAAACAAGGCCACCGTCTGCACGACCTCCCCTTGGGGCAGCAGCCTCAGCGAGGTCAGAAAGGTCAAGCCGCCGGCCCGCCGGCGGCGCCCTCATCAATGGCGACGCGTCACGCGCCGGCGCCATTATCCCTGGCGCGCGATTATCCCCGCGGAATTCGTACGGGATAATGAGAAATAACGGCCCCCGTTGCAGAATCACTGAATGGACCATTAGCCTAGATCCAATACAGGCGGCGCTCCCTTCGCAAAGAGTGCAGGTCGCGGCGTGACCCTATTCAACCGCTGGCAAGGTCCACGGGGCGCGTTGTGAAGGGGCGATGACGTCATCGCCCGAGGCGGTCCGGTCAGCGGCCGTTGGAGGCGCGAAGTAAGGCCTGAAAGACGGCTGCAGAGGTAAGCTGATCGCCCCCGATATCGCCGAATGATTTCGCTAAATTGCTCGTGCGACTGGCGCAAGCGCTGTTGGCGGCGAGTAAATGGGCGAGAAGATTGGGCGAAGGCGCCCCATTTATATATATATATATATATATATATATATATATATATATATATATATATATATATATGTGTGTGTGTGTGTGTGTGTGTGTGTGTGTGTGTGTGTGTGTGCGTGCGTGTGTGCGTGCGTGCGTGCGTGCGTGCGTGCGTGCGTGCGTGCGTGCGTGCGTGCGTGCGTGCGTGCGTGCGTGCGCGCGTGCGCGCGTGCGTGCATGCGTGTGTGTGTGCGTACCTTCGTCGCTGTCCGTGGTGCGTTTCATCAGTCGAGTCGTTAGTAGATCGGCCAGGGCAGGTAACGGGCTTTTATGGGGCCCATGTTCCCAGAACGCAGGTCGGTGTAATGAAACATTAAGGGAACGCGATGGAGACGCATTTACCCTCATTTACGGCACTGGACTACCACGGCTGGGCTAATGCTGACAGACGCACGGGTAATGCGCCATCAAAAGTAATTTCACGCACGATAATCCTTACGACGAGGAAGGTGAGTTGATCTTAACCAGATCACCACACCATATGCACGTGCCGGTCTGTGCGGTGATCAAGGTTCACTGCTTTAAATTACGATCACTATTAATCTACTGTCATTGAAGTTCCTATCACTATTAAATATACCGTAGTTAAAGTCCCTATCGCTACTAAATCTACCATCATTAAAATCCTTATCTGCTTAACCCTTCCAATTCATAGGAGACAGCCAGACGTCATTCCGCCAATATGCGTTTGCTAAATGTCACACGAAAGTCAAACTTAAACCACCCTTCTGAACCTATCCTATTCCCTACGTCTTGACCTATTCCTCTCACCGCTCTCTTTCCACTAACGGAACCCGGACGATTCCACCCACGGATTCTAGACGATTCCGCCCACGGACTCCAGACGATTCCGCCCACGGACTCAGGCGATTCCGCCCACGGACTCCAGGCCGCTCTCCGGGCGTTCCCACCGCCATAAATCACCACAGCACACCTGTTAATTCAGGCACGAGATGTTTTGATCCACGTCCCAAGAAAAGCAAACACGTCGTCCATCAGGGTTTGGGCGGAGGCCGATGATGAATAGCCGTTCCGAGACGCCGCCGCCAAACTCGGGCCAATCAATTAACGCGACGTGGCCACCGCCGCCACCGCCCCCCCCCCCCCCCCCCGCCCCTTTCATATGCTCGGGAAAGGTGTCTTGGCACAGGTGGTTGTGAGTGCTGTCTGGTCTGGTCCTTCTTTCAATCCAACAGAGTCTGATCTACGCTGGATCGGAAGAGCCAGATCCGCATGCGTGAATTTCGCTTGCCGTTCTGTGGCGACCGGATTAACCGCTGCGAACGCTCAGCTGCAGGAGCTCAGACACTTGCATCGATGACCTAAGATACTTAGATAAGCATCAGATACTTGCATCGATGACCGTTCGGTAACTTCGAGGGATGGATGTCCCATATCATCACGCGACTTGGAACTGGTCCTTTATCAAACACTGTGCAGTGTGCATTAGGCTAAACATAAACAATCGTTTAACCGAAGTCACGCTCTTGTCAGTTAACACACCTGATTAAAAAATGTGGTCGTTTTACCACCATAACGCTTAAATCGGATAAAACAGCCAGATGATGCCCTTTCAACAAATTTTAGAGGCCAAGTGAACTGGCGCCCGTGCTGCCAGTGGGGTGTATAGCGAGCGCAGCTCAGTGAGACGGACCTCTTCCCAGCCATGCACAGCCAGTGCAAATCAGCAGATGCCCCCCCCCCCCCCCTCCGTTTCCCGACATTTTTCCGTGGAAACGAATCGGTCTCTCGGCGTCTCCCCACGGAGACAAACCGTCTATCAGCGTCTCCCCGCGGATACAAATCCGTCTATTATCGTCTCCCCGCGGAGACAGACCAGTCTACTGGCGTCTCTCGGCGGAGACAGATCAGTCTTTGGCGTCTCCCCGCGGAGACAAATCAGTCTCTCGGCGTCTCCCCGTCGAGACAGACTCGACGCAGCCGTCTGGCGCCGCAGATACCCCACGGAAAACGTCGTCAGCGTCGGCGACCGCTGTGGATGACAGCACCGACCAGGGGAAGGGGGGACGAGCTGGGGGCGGGGGGGGGGTCTGACGGAAGCGATAACGCTGCCGGATGACGCGGGGTCACCGCGGCAGAGGACAGAGGACAGCGCGCAGTGGTTCTGGGGGACGGCTGGGACGACACTAGCGGGAAACAAGTGCTCGAACTGTGTTGACGATCGTGCTGCCTTCTGCAGAAATTGTCAAGTGTTTTTGGCTGAAAGCGAAGTTGTCGCAATCCAAGTTGAGAAGGGAAGAGCTTTCATTTAGGATCCGAGGAGGGGCTTTCGTTTGGAAACGCTCGGGGCAGGTGCGGGGAAGGCACCGCAAAAATACCTGCCGCGGCTTTGTTGTCTCGTCCGTAAGACCCACATGAGCGCCCTCTGATGCTAGTCGTATGATGCGTCATATATGTTTTAATATAAGGGCTTCGTAACACGATACCCCCCCCCCCCCCCCCACAGCACACAGCCACATGATCTGGCAGTTGGAAAACGAACTGAGTTGACGAACGACTCTGACCCCTTCATTTCGTGACGGAGACCGATCCAGCACACCAAGTGCCGTCAGTGGCTTGAAAGCTCCGACAGGTTAACCCGTAAGTCGGCATTTGTGTTGGACATGGTAGCCTTCGCCATAGCTGACCCAAAACTGTGACATCAAAACCTCCATCGCGGTCGTACCTGGCAATGCCGCGATAATTTTGTTTGGTATGTCGAATCACGTTTGCCTACACTTGACAATCTTGTTCGAAAAAAATGAGTCCTGTTTACAACGCCCTCGCAAGCTGTTCATCTCTTTTGTAGGTGAAACAAAAGCGCAGCCAGCATCGAGGATAGAACCCACAACCTCGTCGCCTTGCAACAACGCACATCCCATAATAACAAGCCACGGCTCGCCCCGGAATAACTGCTTCCAACCCCACGCGGTAACAAGGTGAAATGAATGATCTCATTTGAAGGAATAGGGCGCGCAGGCAGTAAATCAAGCGTTTGACTCAGCTGATGGTTATTGCACACCCCATGCAGTGCCACAATGGAGCACTGTTCATGCTCCATGATCGTTAATCACCGTGAATGGCATCGAATGATACAACGTGGCTTCAGTGATGGGCAGGCATTTTACGGCCGACTTGGCCTTGCCTTGAGTGAAACGGTTCGTCAAGGGTTTGCAAACCGACGCGCTGCTGATGGCGACTTGATAAAATTGTTGGGCCATATAACGATGAGAGACGACAGAATCGGCAGGATTTATGGCGTAACGCGGCGCTGATATTTATGAGCATGAAAACTGTTACACATCATGGAAGAGATTCAACATCGGGTTTATTTCGGGCATGAAAACCCGACAAACTACAGACACCCGTCGAAACCCATCAGATCCACGCCATCCGCGAAACAACTAACATCTGGCAGCAGCAGCGCCCGGCTCGACACGTCACTGCGTGAAGTTTTTTATCCACCCACCTTCCCGCCCGCTGGGTTTGCTTTCGCCGCGGGGCACGCGCAGAAAAACGCCGTCCAAACATGACGAATGGCCTACGGACGCTACGCTAACGAGCGCGCTAAGCCGCCATATCAGCACGTGACACTTGGACTGACATGCCCCGCGGCGGGAGGTGCTGGAAAGATAACTGGCAGCAGGCGCAGCAGAGAAAAACCGGCGTATGCTCCCGGTACTGGCGCTAGTGGGTAAATACGCAGATCCATCATGAAAATCCAAGACGAGGGGCCGGGCACATCACAGTCTCGTCACAGTTAAGTCGTGTGTTGACGTCAGGGTCCATTATTCCATTTGCACTGTACTTTGGAATGTTTGTAACATTGGAGAAGCGTCAGTTCC